TTTGAAGACATGTTGAAGCCCGGGGGCAGAGCTGAGCTGACCATCTCACTTCTTTGACCTGATCATACCTCCACAACTTCACAGAAGGGGCCAAGACAAGCTAACAAAACAAGAAATGTTTCGAGTTGACAAAAAAAAAAAAAAAAAACTTTACCAAATAAATGCCATAAAGATTTTTTTTTACAAATAGTGACCATTTAATTTAATGCCCTCAAGATTGAAAATAATAGTGACCATTTACATTTTAGGGATCATGTTATTGTGTACTTTATCAAAATAATGAATAGTGTAAACTTAAAACAAAATTTAAACAAAACCAATTATATAACATTTTATGAAACAGCAAAGGGAAGCAGAAATATCAAACCACTGTTTTGGCCAACAAATACTACAATTAATAAATTGTATAAATTTATTGGGGCATGTTCTTTTCTTGATGAAATGGGACTTTTTAAAGTTTTAAACAGTTTTTGTGGTATTTGGCTTTGAGTAAGTTTACATCTTACCCAAGAATATTCTGTAAATAATGGTTGCACAATTGTTGAAGCAGTAGCCACACAAACATCACACTACAATTTGTATTTTGGATAGAAACATGTATTTAGTGCCTCCTTTGTGCAACTGCAGTGTGTAATTATAAACACACAATAAGGGTTTAGTTTTCTTGTTTGTTCAGTTATCACCTTTAGACTTGATACTCTTTTTTTTATCAACAGCTCTACAAAACAAAATAATCATATTAAACGGTGTGACAGTAGCCTTTTATTTAGTTTTAAATATTAACAAAATAAGTTTTTATTACATGCTAATGATATACTAGATTGATTGAGATTAGTTATAATAACCTCAAAGATATACAGAAACTTTATAATAAAATAGCTTATAACACTAAAACCATAGAGAAAGTGAGTTACGCACATCAGTCGAGGTTCCATTACAGGTTTGGTCCTCTAGCGCCATCTAGTGACACCGTTTACACAGCGCGGAGTATTCATCAAACACGTGGAGGGAGAGAGAGCAGATGCTGAAGGTCAGGTAAAAATGATTAACTACTTATTCTCACAGAGGTTCTGATGGTCTGATATAGTAAATATGATTTGATGTTATGGTCAGTGATGTTTCTTGCTGATGTTTAGCACTCGCAGACTCCATTCTTCACATTTCTGTCTCCTCATCAAGCCCTCCAGGTGGAGAATGAACTAAAGCCAGAAAAGAAACAGATGATAATACTCACAGTATCTAAAATGCGCTTGTTGGAGCATGTGTTATGAAACTATTAATGTTAATCAGCATTCAAACCCCCTCTCTTTGAAATCCCTTACCAAAATATCAATGGTTTATTGTAACTTACCAAATGAATTATTTGCTACCACTGTCAAAAAATACAGCGGAACAACAAGTCTTAAAAGTGTAAACAATTGCAAGGCAGCCATATACTGAACATGGAGTGCACAATAATTCAAGACTCACTGCATCAGTTAGACCAGAATACACCTTTCTAAAAGATTAAGTTATTATATTTTTAGTCATGTAATGAATTGCAAATTGTCATATCTGTACTACCTTAGTTTTCAGTGCTCTAATGAAAATAATTTTTAAGAATCACTTACATCCTGCAGAGCCTTCAGCATTGCCTCTTCATTGGCTCTGGAGCGAACACGCATGTGGAAGACTGTGATCATGCTGGTATTTTCTGAAAGTTATGGACAATAAAAATATAAAAAAATATTTATTCGAAAGAAATTCTGCATCATATAGCTACCATTTTGAATTTAGCCAGAATTCCATATTACTGTGTCTATTCTATTCTATTCTATTCTATTCTATTCTACTGAACTGAGCAATAAAATGTAAACAATATCTATTAAAAACTGATTTTTCTAAGTTCTAAATTAAATTATTGGAGCATGTTTTACAATTTCAGTCTTTCTATTTCGTGTCTATTCTATTCTATTCTATTCTATTCTACTGAACTGAGCAATAAAATGTAAACAATATCTACACTTTAAAAACTGATTTTTCTAAGTTCTAAATTAAATTATTGGAGCATGTTTTACAATTTCAGTCTTTCTATTTAAATTTTTGACCCTTACGTCAGTGTGTTACTTGCTGTTTCTTTGAAATGTATTTGGATTTGTATTTGTATGTAATCTGTATTTGCATAAATGATACTATAGCAAATGCTGAATGCGAATATCATTTAAGCAACTATTTATATATAAATATGCAGTTTACCTTTCTGGGTTGTGTGTGTCTCGGGTGCTGAGGTTGGTGATGATGATGACGACGGTGGTGAGGTTGTTGGTCTTGATTGTGAGGATGGTGAAAATGATGGTGAGGTTGGAAATGATGGTGAGGAAGATAAAGCTGATGTGGTTTCTGATGCTGAAGATGGTGAAAGTGTTGGTATGGTTGATGAAGGTGAAGATGAGGGTGATTGAGAAGTTAAAGATGAGGATGTTGAAGAATATGCTAAGGTTGGTGATAAAGATTCAGTAAATATAAAAAAATAATTTATGCAGATGTAAAAATGTGTGAATTCTGATTTATTATATTAAATATTAAAGAACAAATAAATTCATGCAGCTTTTGGTTTGTGTAATATTAATTCAAGTACTAATATTAACTCAAGTATTAATTAGGGAAGTCGTGGCCTAATGGTTAGGGAGTGTAACCCAAAGGTTGCGGGTTCGAGTCTCGTACCGGCAGGGATTGTAGGTGGGGGGAGTGAATGTACAGCACTCTCTCCCACCTTCAATACCACGACCGAGGTGCAAGGCACCGAACCCCCAACTGCAAAAATGGCTGCCCACTTCTCTGGGTGTGTGTTCACTTCACTACAAGTAATTATGTGCTGATTTGTGTTGCTTAATACTTATATTTCACCTTTTTTTATGTAAGTTACAAATTACTTAAGTTTACAATTGCAATGGAATTTTTGTTTGAAAATTGTCTTTTATGGAAATAATCTGCATGTGTCTTTTTTTAGGCACGGTTGAGCTGATTATATTATAGGGTGTATATTATGTCTTACGTAGAATACATGTTTGAATGTAGTCGGGACAGCAGTTAGACTGGCAGAACTCATCACAAAAACATGATCCTTGATGACATTTGTCATTCCTGCCAGTACAGCAGAGCATTGTGGGTACTGAACACAGGGCTGAAAGAAAGCACATAGAAAGCTCACTTCACAAATATCTAGGGGTTTCCTCTTGTAAAATTACAGATCTGACACAACACAGCTACATTCCTCCGTCTAGACGTGTAACACATGGTGTCAGATGATTTTTGTTGTTGTTGTCTGATGTTACTTTGGATGTGGGAATGTGTCATATGACACCTAACACACGCCTGGATAGATTTGCACCTTGATTGTGTTTAAAAGGGCAATTATTTACTGGAGTTTAAACCATTTGGACACAGAACAATATTTGCATTGTTTGATTGAGTAATATACTTTTTTATTAACAACTAACTTCTTATTTAACTTATTGCATTAAGATTTAGAAATTACTCTTTTGTATTGTAAATGAATGCATTTTTTATATATTATTTAGCAACCCCTGAATACAATTATAATAAGATATATATATAAAAAACGTACTACCAATAATATTTGGTTTAAATGTATTTATTATACAAACAGAAAACATCAGTTCACAATTTTAGGTTCGCTGCACTGCTTTGGCAAAAAGTGTTTTTTATATATATATATATATATATATATATATATATATAAACACGTACATCTCTTTCTCCTTTATTTTATTTTTGTCCTTTCTACACTTGACATATTTCATTGTTAAGTATAAATGTATGAAATTAGTCAACATTTGTAGCATTTGTATTTTTATGAATCAACTTTTGTAGCATTTTATATCATTCTAATACACACAAAAATGACACAAAATAATGTACAACATAAGATCCTGGAAGATTTTTGTTTGCTGTAGTTTCTCACAGAACATTATGTGAAGCTCAGTGTCTGTCTTACATGAAACCTGAGTCCTGTCAGTTTGGACTAGGAACAATAAGAGAAGCCAGGCATGAGTGCATAAAATCTTCATCTGAATCCAGCTGAGTGTGAATATGGTGGTTTGGGTGATTTTTTTTAAACAGATCATTTGTGAAACACGCCCCCACTGGCAAAAGTATATTTAAATTCCTGTTACTACCTCATGTTTTGAAAGTGTATCTTTTTACATTTGATCTGGTCATCCTGGTTCATGTGTTTACAGTGAGGAATTTAACATTTAACAGTACTTCCTGTTTGTCTGAAGCATTTTTAATGTCCCAAATATGAGTAGAGAGCGGAAGACGGTTTTGTTCCACTGAACACTGCCATCAAAATAATTTGAATCATAATTATTAACATCATATATGATGAAAAATAAGAGGGCATTCACAAAGTGTTATTAAGCAAATGATAATTACATTTAAGTCCAAAATATCAGTTTTTTTTACAATTATTATTTTCTGCTTCATGATTATTAACATCATATATGATGAAAAATAAGAGGGCATTCACAAAGTTTTATTAAGCAAATGATAATTAAATTTAAGTCCAAAATATCAGTTTTTTTTACAATTATTATTTTCTGCTTCATGATATATGCTGCTACTATTAAATACATTGGACAACAACAAACTACAACACTCAGCTTTGAATTCAAAAAGGCCTATGACAATAAAAGTAGCCTATTCTTAAAACTCTCCTTTTTGTTGTGGGAAATCAGTTGGATGTGGGTTAAATAATTTTTACGCTACGGAAATAAAGATTCCTAATAAGACTATTTGAGAAACAGGCAGTTATTGTATTATTATGCTATCTATCCTATCTTTTGAAACAACATTTATGATATAATCATCCTAAGATTCCTTGTTTCGTTTCATTCTAATATACATTGCTAATATAAATCTAATTTAAATAAGAATATACTAAATTGATTGACATTTATAGCAGCTCTGTATTAAAATTTGAATGAAGGTTAGACAGTGATTAGACAATCCTCTCTGATTTCCATTACAGGTTTGGTCCTCTAGCGCCATCTAGTGACACCATTTACACACCAGGAGTCTTAAACAAACACGTGGAGGAAGGTCAGGTAATAATGATTAACTACTGAAAAACATATATTTGACTTGATGTTATCAGTGATATTTCTGACTGATGTTTAGCACTCGTAGACTGCAGTCTTCACATTGCTGTTTCCTCATCAAGCCCTTGAGGTGGAGAATGAACTAAAGCCAGAAAGGAAACAGGGATAATACTCATAGTGTTATCTAATATAAGTGTGCCAAATATTATCATCCCTAAAAATAAGCTCTCACTTACCAAAATGTACAATGTGCAAAGTAACAGCCAAAACAATTGCTACAGTTAATTGTAACTTACTTGAATAAATATGATAAAACAATAAAATAAATTAAATAAACAAATGACAGAAATCAGCTCTTTTCAGACCAAAACCTTTTTAAATATAATTCAAATTGCTGACCTTGTGGTACTGAGGGGAGAGACTGTGCTTGTTGTATTCTGCATTTTTAAAACCGTTTTCTTGCGTTTCAACATGCTCTACAGTTAGGAGCTACAGGAATAACTCTATTGAAGCTTATTGTAAATGTGTTAACAGGTCAACCCACTTAGATCAGTCAAAAACAAAGTCTTAAAGGTATAAACAGATGGGGAAAAAATGCATCAATACAATGAAGCAGAGATTGAAAGGACCACAGTAAGCAAGGCTGCATTAGTTACTGTAGATCATATGCCATTCAAATATATTTAAATCAAAATACACCTTTTACATAATCTAAAAGATTGATTTGCAAATTATATTTTTAGTCATGTAATCTGTTGCAAATAGTAAATAGTATCTGTAGCAGCCTAGTATTCAGAAGACATTTACCCAGCACTGGTGACAAATTACCCAGATTTAAGCAAACAGTGATGCTCTAGTGAAAATTATTTTTTAAAAATCACTTACATCCCGCACAGCCTTCAGCATTGCCTCCTCACTGGCTCCTGAGCGAACACGCATGTGGAAGACTGTGATTGCACTGATGTTTTCTGAAAATGATTGAAATTATGCGATTTATTTACTCCAAGGAATTCTAAAGATGACTTTATATGTTATCATCTGCATTATTTGGTTTATTCTATTCTATTCTATTCTATTATAATGAACTGAAATGACAAGAATGGAAATATATTCAATATCTACACAAAATTTTTTGCAAAAACATTATTTGCACTTTAGCATTTTCAATAACTGGTATAATCTACTTCTCTGCTGGGATGTTGATGAAGATGCAGAGGTTGGTGGTGGGGATGAAGAAGAAGGTGGTTCTGATGTTGGTGATGATGATCGGTTGGTTGTTGGTGATGTTGATGAAGATGGTTGTGAGGTTTGTGGTGATGATGTTGGTGATTGGTTGGTTGTAGGTAGGGAGGATGAAGATGGTGGTGAGGTTGATGTTGAGGAAGATAAAGGTGGTGAGGTTGGTGATATTAAGGTTGATAAGGATGCTGATGAGAACGGTGAAAACGAGAGTGTGGTTAATGAAGATGATATAAAGGATAGTGAAGAATGTGCTAAGGTTGTTGATGATAAGAAAATCAAATAATATTCATTTATATTTAGGAATGTTTTAATTCCGGTTTGTCACAAAAGAATAAACAGATGCAGGATTGTAGTTTGCATATCATTAATTCATTTAGTTAATTAGTAAGCTAGTATCTGTTTCAGATAAGGACTGAACTGAGACTCCAGTGTCTTTGTACATTTAATCACTTCCAAATATGTGATCTAGTTACTGATTAATGTTGAGATACCAGTTATCCTCTCTAACTTGTGGAAACTTAAATCGACGTTAACTTTTATTACAGTGTGTTGTACATTATGATATGTTCTTGTTTAAAGAATAATGTCTCATAGAAATGTTAAAGATTTGTCTTTTTTAGGCACCGTAGAGCTGCTTATAATGACTGCTTATTATTTATGTTGAGAGTATTTAGTCTTACGCTGAATGCATGTCTGATTGTAGTCAGCACAGCAGTCCCTGTTTATGACGCAGAACTCATCACAAAAACACCCACCACTTTGGCATTGGCTATTCTTTCCAGGACAACAGACTAGTGCTGTGGGTACTGAACACTGGCCTGAAAGATACAAGACATGAACACAGAAAGCTCATTTAGCAAAGATGTTTATCCTTTGCTTTTCTGGGGCTTTCCTTTTGTAAAATACAGATCTGATGCTCTGCAGCTGCATTCCTTCATCTAGTCATACAGTGCAGTGTGTCAACTGTTTGTGCTTTTCCTTTGTCTGACATTGCTTTGCATCTGGTAATGCATTACACAAATTGGAACACACCTGGATGGATTTGCAGCTAACAGTTTGATTGTATTGAAAAGGAATTTATTTATGAGTTTACTGAAGACATCAGAAAATTCATATCCTTTTTCAGAGTCATATCGTCATTTCTCAGCTGCAGAAATAGAGCTATTTTTTTTTTACATTGTATAAGGGATGTGACTAAAGAAGGAAAAAGTAAAGAAGTAAAGAAAAAATAAAATATGTGCTGTCCAAACGTTTCCCCTTGTTTTTGATAAATTAGAAACTATAAGTAGACCTGACAATATGTGTGACTGTATTTGCATTAAAAAAACCAGAAATAGTTTAATCTTTTCAGACCTTAACCATGTGATTGATGGCATGCGAATTGTCTAACATGCAAAAACTTAATATTAATACTTTTTGGTCCAAATGCAATGTGCATAAAAATAGAAAACATCAGTTCACAATTTTAATATCCACTGCTCTCGTTCACAAAAATCAATGTCCAGATTTAATAGTTTTGTACTATTAGTAAATAATCTTTATTTATTTCTCAATTAATTTTTTGCTTCTAAACATACTCCTCATACACACAACCAATGTCAAAAAAGAACACAAAATGTTGGATAGTTCACCCCAAAATGAAAATTGTCATCATATTCTCACCTCCAAACCTGAATTTATTTCTTCTATTGAACACAAAAGAAGATATTTTGAAAAATGGGTAACCAGTTTCTAGTCCTCATCGATTTTTTTTCATACTGTTATAGTCAATGGCTACCAGCAACTGAGGGTGAGTAAACGATGACAGATTTGCTGTATTTTCTCACAAATGTTAAATGTTAAAGTCCATTGCTCTCTTTCACACAAATTTATGTCCATATTTAATTGTTTTGTACTACTAATAAAAAAAACAATTCTACTTTCTACTACTTTTTTTAAACATACTTCTCATACATACAACCACAGTTTCAAAAATAACACAAAATGATGGAGCACTTGGTTTAAGTAGTTTCTAACAGAACTGAAGCATACTGTCGGTCTTACCTGAAACCTGGTTTCTGTCACTTTGGACCAGGAACAATAAGAGAAGCCAGGAGTGAGCACCTGAGACCTTCATCTTAGTCCAGCTGAGTGTGCACATTGTAGTTTGGGTGTTTTTAATGTAAAGCATTAGTGAAATCCACACCCAGACGCCAGCATAATTTCCTCGTATGACCCATGTTTTAAACATTTCGATTTTTACATGTATCTTGTCATTCAGGTTCGTCTGTGGATGATGGGGAATTTAACATTTAACATGTTACTTCCTGTTTGTCTGAAGTGAAATACTAATCTTCCAAATAGGAGAAGAGTGCAGGAAAATTTTTCTATTGAACACTACTGTAAAAATCAATATATGCAATATATGCAATATATTTTATGCAAAAATGTTCCCCCTAGTAACTGACCCAGAGTATTTTGTAATCTTTCCACACACACTACATATATATTTTTTTAAATCGCTTTTTTCTTACTGGCAACCTGACACGCATTTTCTGCTATGACACTTGGCATCAAGGCTAGAAAGTAATGTATCCCAAAAGAAAATAATTAGAGTGGAATGCTAGAAAATGGTTCTGCTACAAAGAATGCACCCACAAAAAGGTTTTGTGTGATGTTTTTAATTCCAAATATTTTCCTTGAACAAAGTACACAAGATAAAAATATAAAACTCAGAGGACACTCAGATTCAAATTTTATTAAACTAAATTAAAACAAATGTGTTTATTACATGTAAATGCAAAACATTCACACAAAATCTGAGACCCACCAAAATAAAAAAAACACTTTGGAAATAAAGACAAACTATTTTTATTTAAAAAAATTATTTTATGTTAAATACATTTTTAATACATTTTCTCTTTTTCTTTTTTTAGCTCAATAGAGTATGTTAATATGTGTTGTAAAATCTGATTATATTTTTAAACTTTTTGGAGATTTTTAATCTTATTTTATCCATGAAATCTTTGCCAAAATACAGTATATGTACAAAAAGCCTACATCTGTTCCAGTGATGTGCTATTTACTCATGTTTTATGCTGTAGTGCCACCTAGTGAAAAAACACATTTCCATTTAGTAACATGTTCAGGAAATGAGATTTCTGTAAAACACATAATATTCACAAAGATGATATTTATATAGAGCAGCTATTATGTGATGTGGATGTCATGTCATGTCACAAGAATGATGATGATGACGGTGGTGAAGATGATGCTGAGAATGATGGAGAGTTTGGTGATGATGATGGTGGTGGTGAAGTTGGTGATGACAGTGAGGATGACTGAAATAATGGTATGGTTGGTATTAAAGGTGAGGATGATGAAGATGGTGATGTAACTGGTGAAGTCAATGAGATTGGTGGAGAAAAAGGGGATGATGGTGTTGCTGCTGGAGGTAATGATGGTTGTGAGTTTATTGATGAAGACAATGGTGGGGATAGTGAAGATAGTATGGTTGGTGATGATATTAGTGTTGATGATGATGAAGATGGTATATAGGTTGGTGTTGGTAATGACTGTGATGAGGATGATGATGCTAAGGGTTGTAAAGGTTGGAGGGAAGTTGGTGATGATGATGAGGATGTTGAAACAGGTTGTGACGTTGCTGATGAGATTGGCGATGTCTGCAAAGATGGTGCTGTAGTTGTTGATGATGTAGATGAAGAAAATAGTGTTAAGGTGGGTGATGATGACAGTGAGAAGGATGGTAAGTAATGGAGTTGGTGGTGACTAGGGTTGGGTATCGTTTGAATTTGATCAATTCTGATTCCGATTCTGCTTATCGATTCTGATTCTTTTCGATTCCAATGTGATTAAATAATGATATCAAACATTTATCCTGTGTCTCTTTTTTCAGGGTGTCCGCGGGGTCTTAAAAAGTATTAAAAGTTGATCAATCAATTTAGATCAAATTAAGGCCCTTAATAAGTATTAAAAAGTCTTAACAATGTTAATTAATGATTGGTTATTGTTAATTAATGTTACCAACAAAAGACAAAATCACTCACTGCTCTTGACTGAATAATTTTTGTAACTTTAATTTTAAGAATTAATCTGTTGTTTAATTTACAGTTTATTCCATTTTTACAGCATTTCTGTACCTCAATGTTTTCCACCAAAACTGTTTCTAAAACTGTCCTGAGTTTAATTTATAATACTGGCTAAGCAAATTACAATATACTTAATATTCTGGCATTCAGTTATGTGATTATGTAACTTATGTTCGTAGTCAGCACAGAAGTCCCTGTTTATGACGCAGGACTCATCACAAAAACACCCACCACTTTGGCATTGGCTATTCTTTCCAGGACAACAGACTAGTGCTGTGGGTACTGAACACTGGCCTGAAAGATACAAGACATGAACACAGAAAGCTCATTTAGCAAAGATGTTTATCCTTTGCTTTTCTGGGGCTTTCCTTTTGTAAAATACAGATCTGATGCTCTGCAGCTGCATTCCTTCATCTAGTCATACAGTGCAGTGTGTCAACTGTTTGTGCTTTTCCTTTGTCTGACATTGCTTTGCATCTGGTAATGCATTACACAAATTGGAACACACCTGGATGGATTTGCAGCTAACAGTTTGATTGTATTGAAAAGGAATTTATTTATGAGTTTACTGAAGACATCAGAAAATTCATATCCTTTTTCAGAGTCATATCGTCATTTCTCAGCTGCAGAAATAGAGCTATTTTTTTTTTACATTGTATAAGGGATGTGACTAAAGAAGGAAAAAGTAAAGAAGTAAAGAAAAAATAAAATATGTGCTGTCCAAACGTTTCCCCTTGTTTTTGATAAATTAGAAACTATAAGTAGACCTGACAATATGTGTGACTGTATTTGCATTAAAAAAAACAGAAATAGTTTAATCTTTTCAGACCTTAACCATGTGATTGATGGCATGCGAATTGTCTAACATGCAAAAACTTAATATTAATACTTTTTGGTCCAAATGCAATGTGCATAAAAATAGAAAACATCAGTTCACAATTTTAATATCCACTGCTCTCGTTCACAAAAATCTATGTCCAGATTTAATAGTTTTGTACTATTAGTAAATAATCTTTATTTATTTCTCAATTTATTTTTTGCTTCTAAACATACTCCTCATACACACAACCAATGTCAAAAAAGAACACAAAATGTTGGATAGTTCACCCCAAAATGAAAATTGTCATCATATTCTCACCTCCAAACCTGAATTTATTTCTTCTATTGAACACAAAAGAAGATATTTTGAAAAATGGGTAACCAGTTTCTAGTCCTCATCGATTTTTTTTCATACTGTTATAGTCAATGGCTACCAGCAACTGAGGGTGAGTAAACGATGACAGATTTGCTGTATTTTCTCACAAATGTTAAATGTTAAAGTCCATTGCTCTCTTTCACACAAATTTATGTCCATATTTAATTGTTTTGTACTACTAATAAAAAAAACAATTCTACTTTCTACTACTTTTTTTAAACATACTTCTCATACATACAACCACAGTTTCAAAAATAACACAAAATGATGGAGCACTTGGTTTAAGTAGTTTCTAACAGAACTGAAGCATACTGTCGGTCTTACCTGAAACCTGGTTTCTGTCACTTTGGACCAGGAACAATAAGAGAAGCCAGGAGTGAGCACCTGAGACCTTCATCTTAGTCCAGCTGAGTGTGCACATTGTAGTTTGGGTGTTTTTAATGTAAAGCATTAGTGAAATCCACACCCAGACGCCAGCATAATTTCCTCGTATGACCCATGTTTTAAACATTTCGATTTTTACATGTATCTTGTCATTCAGGTTCGTCTGTGGATGATGGGGAATTTAACATTTAACATGTTACTTCCTGTTTGTCTGAAGTGAAATACTAATCTTCCAAATAGGAGAAGAGTGCAGGAAAATTTTTCTATTGAACACTACTGTAAAAATCAATATATGCAATATATGCAATATATTTTATGCAAAAATGTTCCCCCTAGTAACTGACCCAGAGTATTTTGTAATCTTTCCACACACACTACATATATATTTTTTTAAATCGCTTTTTTCTTACTGGCAACCTGACACGCATTTTCTGCTATGACACTTGGCATCAAGGCTAGAAAGTAATGTATCCCAAAAGAAAATAATTAGAGTGGAATGCTAGAAAATGGTTCTGCTACAAAGAATGCACCCACAAAAAGGTTTTGTGTGATGTTTTTAATTCCAAATATTTTCCTTGAACAAAGTACACAAGATAAAAATATAAAACTCAGAGGACACTCAGATTCAAATTTTATTAAACTAAATTAAAACAAATGTGTTTATTACATGTAAATGCAAAACATTCACACAAAATCTGAGACCCACCAAAATAAAAAAAACACTTTGGAAATAAAGACAAACTATTTTTATTTAAAAAAATTATTTTATGTTAAATACATTTTTAATACATTTTCTCTTTTTCTTTTTTTTAGCTCAATAGAGTATGTTAATATGTGTTGTAAAATCTGATTATATTTTTAAACTTTTTGGAGATTTTTAATCTTATTTTATCCATGAAATCTTTGCCAAAATACAGTATATGTACAAAAAGCCTACATCTGTTCCAGTGATGTGCTATTTACTCATGTTTTATGCTGTAGTGCCACCTAGTGAAAAAACACATTTCCATTTAGTAACATGTTCAGGAAATGAGATTTCTGTAAAACACATAATATTCACAAAGATGATATTTATATAGAGCAGCTATTATGTGATGTGGATGTCATGTCATGTCACAAGAATGATGATGATGACGGTGGTGAAGATGATGCTGAGAATGATGGAGAGTTTGGTGATGATGATGGTGGTGGTGAAGTTGGTGATGACAGTGAGGATGACTGAAATAATGGTATGGTTGGTATTAAAGGTGAGGATGATGAAGATGGTGATGTAACTGGTGAAGTCAATGAGATTGGTGGAGAAAAAGGGGATGATGGTGTTGCTGCTGGAGGTAATGATGGTTGTGAGTTTATTGATGAAGACAATGGTGGGGATAGTGAAGATAGTATGGTTGGTGATGATATTAGTGTTGATGATGATGAAGATGGTATATAGGTTGGTGTTGGTAA